ACTGTAGTGCCCTGAAACGGCACGCAGTGCAGTTGTATGGTTCTCCAAGCAACCATACATGTATCATGACATCCCTTTTTGCACAACCATGTGATCTCTGGCATTCGAGCTTGTCTTTTGTGTGATACTGCTTGGGTTCCGCACACAAGGCACACACATGGAACACTCCGGGTACTATGAATCCCGAGACTTGGCCGTCCAATCGTGTCGTCGGCGATTCGATCGAAGATCTTGCTAGAAGATGTTAGAGGGGTTTTCGTCCTGCGAACCCCGACGATTTGTCATTGATCCACGGTGCGTGATCGATACCAGCATAAACGATAGAGAAAAAGCGACAGCTCGCGCGTTCCTTCTACGCGTTCGTACCCATAAGTCATCGCCACGCGCGGGCTGGTGTTGGAGGATTACTTTTCCTGAGACCAATGCCAACTCTCTCCCCAGTCTCCCAGAAGACAAGTGCCAATGTTAGCTAACGGGGCCGATTCCTCAAACCTCAGGTGCATGTTGGCTGCATGTTGGGAGCTTTGGACGGGCCTTTTTTTTTATGCTCCAGCTGCTCATGGACGTTCTTCCCCTCATTACATCTGGCCTGGGGTAAAGACGGGCGAAGCCATAAGGACCCATGGCCTACCCCTGGCCATTTGTGTTCTCGCCATCGTTATTCCATCTCGACGGAAGCACAATAATATTGTGCCACGCTAAGTTTGAGTGCTTTCCCACGGCAACACTGAAGATGGCCTGCACTGAACACATCATGTACACACAGTCTGTTTGCACTTTTTAAGTGAAGAGATTGATGGGCAACTTTCCCCAGTGCCCTGGTGTCATAACGCGATCGCGTTTGTATAGACGCTCACGAGCCGTCTATCCCCCCCCGGTGTGTTTCTTCCGTCTCACCGCCTTATCGTGTTTGATTGTCAGCACCACAAGAGGGGCATCGAAGCGCCAACGGAAGGACTCCACGTCAAGAACAAACGAGCGACGCGGGGGCGACGGGGTGGCGGCAGCACATGAGACGGCGAGTTTGTTGGAAAATTCGGCATTTCTTGGTCAACGAATGGTGGCTATTGAAGCCATGTGTGCTTTGTTTAGGTTGTGTTGCACGTCACTCACACGTTGCGTGCTGTCCTGACGTCTGACGGTCGGTAGCAGGTAGGTGGTAGGGTCAGCGTCGAGAGGTTTCCTACTGGGAAGCGCATCAGTAGGGCATAGTTGGTTGTATCGAGCACCGACGAAAAAAAAATGGTACATATTTATGAAGTGCAGAGCATCCGAGAGGAAATGATCGCACTTGCCACAATAGCGAGGCTACACAAGTGTATGGTGACGTATGGCGCTACCCTACGCTCCATAAATCTACTCTTGAAGTATTTGTATCGTACTTCGATTTTGTGGGGTTGGATTGTGTTCGAGGAAAGGCAAGGGGATTACACGTCGACTTTGTATAATTGCTGGTCTCACTCCTCGTAGTCGAGAAGCTACCACGGCCACGGAATGCTGGGTGCCAGCAGCACAGTTTCGAAGCATTTCCATGCATTTCGTTCAGGAAGCGTGCTCCTCATGGTGAGCGTGCCCCATGAAACTACACGAAAACGTGATCGCTCTACCTGATCTCGAAACAACGAAACCATTCCGCGTCTTGTTGGGCACAGCCACCCTGCCAGCTTTCGATTTCAGTGAGGTCTGTTAGAGCAACGGGTAGCAGGGTGCGTTTCGAGCGCAAGTAAAAAGATGAGCAACACAGCCTCCAAAACCTCGAAGAAGCCCGGTTCTCCTGGCTGGTTTATAAACATACGGCACGCCGTAGAAGAATTCGGTCGGAACCCCAAATTCGGCGGCTTGTCGAGGAGAACGCGCTTAAAACTCGGACCGTACAACAAACCCAAAGCAGATAAAGACGGAAACGATGAGCCAGGGGCACTGTTGGTCGCGTTTCCCCTTGAGAGACAACCTATTACACGCAGCATGGATCGGTTCTCCCGTGAGCTTGAATAGTGAAGAGCGTGGGCCTCACGAAGAACGTAGCTGCACATGCATTGGCGGTGGGCAAACGACGGTTGATTCGACCCCGACCGAAAGCATAGCGTTGTCCTACACGTCTGACCTATCTGGAAATGATGCAGGGACACCCCACTGCTGTTGTGGAATATCACCCTAAGTTGTATACTCCAAGGATTCATTCCGTCGCACTACACTTGAAAAAGAGTCGGTGGAGATGTTTTTTTCGTGTTTTTCTTTTTCTTGCGCACGCTGCACACATTTATGTGAGACTGGGTACGACAGCCTTGGGCTGCCCCCGACCGCCAAAACGTTTGACCAACGGAGCATGTACTCTCACACTTGAGCAATGGTCGTGATCGGATGAGTGTGGTATGGAGTTCTGTACAACATACGGAACTTGTGCAGCGCATGATGACGTACACAGAGCGGCAAGAAAAGGTTAGTTACAGCCGCTGTACAGCACACACATCTATTGTGGCGTGTGTACACGGCATATCAGTGTGGACTTTGCTTCAAGGACGTCTCATACATATTATTTGTGTTCGGACGCTAGGTCGCGCGCGTTGGCGAGTTTTGGGTTTGGTCAATCCGTGAACACATGCGTGACAGCCGCGTGTGCACACCAGCACCGAAGCACAAGTGAAAGATTGGCAGTACAGAGAACTGATGTGTCTCCGCAATGTAAACAGCAGCCAACACCCTAAACACGTTGTATATATGGGCTATGCAGGAGGTCACCACACAATTCCAGGTCTTCGTTAACCCGGCCGTACAACGGGTACGGAAGGCCGCCAAGCCGTGAAGATGCACACATATCGTTTGCGGTACTGCTGCTGAAGCGGATTGAACTTGCCTGCCCCTGTATCAACAGCAGTACGACACCCACCATGGTCATCACGCAATACGCCGTGCCTCGCCTTTCGGTTCTAACGCGAAATGCCTACAACAGCTACATTTTGCATTCATCAATTTGCTTCGACGATCGCCATACCCAACTTTGACGCACGGTTGCTCTCAGCTGGTGTGCTGTACGCATGCCGCTTGCTCAGCGGACCCGTACAGATTTTTTCACGAGTTTCCTTCCGGAACCAACGGAGCCGTTGTGGTCATTTGTGTTGTTTCTTGTCTAACCGCCGTACGAACGATAGGAATGGCTTTGCTACTCGACGACAAGCCGCACATGCTTCAATTCAAACCCTACACACTGAGAGAACTGTGCATTGGTTGCCATGTATCACCATTACTTTCATCGCCACTCACCAGGGCGTTGGCGTGAAGCGAACCCAGTTCCAGAAATGGCTGTTGTTCGGTATGATGACTTGTGATGACGTGTCCAAGGGCATACGGTCCGGAGATCCACACTTGTTACGATTTGACGTTGGATCCCTTTGCTCATGGTCATTTGGATTCTGGAACTCACGGGTACGAACGATGGGGAAGATGTTGTTAGTCGACGTCAAGCCACACATTCTTCAATTCGAACTCCAGACAGTTAGAGGACGGTTGCCGCGTATCACCACTACTTTCATCGCCACTCACCAGGGCGTTAGCGTCAAGCGAACCTTTGCGGCACCACGCGCGGCGTAGTTTTTTCAGTCATTGTTGTCGTTGTTGTTTGGTTTCTTTGTCTGCATGTTGTTTGATCCTGCAGCCTCCACGCCGTTATCGGATGGTTCTTACTGTAAAAAGCATCTCCACCAAAACATCTATTTTTGGCAAGCCTTCATCACCTTCACATACAGGCACCCGTGCGTTCTCACCACGCATTACGCGGTGCCACGCCTTTCCACTCCCATCAGGTTTCCAATTTCTTCGCCATCTTCACTTTTATCCCCCTTTTCACCGTCGTCGTCGGTTGCTCTCGCTTGCGGTTCGGGCCCTGGGGGCGCGGGGGGCATACCTGTGTGTTGTAACTTGTCTTCCGAACGATATAGGGATATGTTGTGCTCGACGCCAAGCCACACATCCTTTAGTTCAAACTCGAGACAGACAGAGAACTGCATATTGTGGTTGTCGCGTATCACCAGTATTTTCAACGTCACTCACCAGGGCGTCAATGCCTAGCGAACCCAGTTGCCGAAAAGGCCCTTGCTCGGTATGACTGCTGTTGTGCAAAGGCGGTCCCACCTCCAGAACTTTTAATCGTGCACGCTTTCGCCTCACTCATAGACATAGAACACAGTCAACTTTGCCCTGCCCTGCACCATCAATATCGCCGTTTTTGTGCTTCTCACCTTTTGTTTCATTCGGGCTTCAATGGGCGGGGAGCCTGTAGTTGCCTCCATAATCTATGTAGACGCAGAGTTTTGGGGTTTGTCTTGAAAAGAAAGAACAAAGCGTTTTCTTGCAAACAGACGTCAAGACGTCCGCGTTCATGTCACATTGTGATTGGCTCGCGGAATCAGTCCTTTCGGGTTATTTCGGGTCGAGTTGTAGCCTTGGGCGTCAGTAGCTATATCGTACGTACGATATCTTCCATCCGTTGAGCTCGTGTTGGGTTCATTGCACATCAGTCAGTTGTTTTGTCGAATATACATTGAACAATAAAGCGGGTGAGGCACGTGGTTGCTAGCCTTTCCGGTTTTTGCTAGCGGCACTGTTCGGCGTAGATACTGCAATCATTCAGTCATTCTTCGCGGTTTTCCTTCTGCGTGTTTTTTTCGGATCCTGCAGCCTAGAAAACGATACCGACAACACCACTGATCGGCGGATGGGTAATTTATAGCACTTTCACGAGAATAGTCCCTTCTTGGGCCCGTACCCACGGACATCACGCACCACGCCGTGCCTCGCCTTCCAACTCTCACCGCGTACGCGCACGGGACGTGTTGCTTCCCAACGATGTCATCCCATTCATCCACTTTTCATCGTCTTCGATTACTCTCGCTTTCCACTCGCCCCCCCCCCCCCCCCCCCCCCCCCCCCCCCCCCCCCCCCCCCCCCCCCCCCCCCCCCCCCCCCCCCCCCCCCCCCCCCCCCCCCCCCCCCCCNGCTGCCTGATGTCACCCGCTCAAATTGGTTTTGAGAAACGACCTGCTCAACACTGGAATGTGGATTATGCTCGATCATGGTTTGCACGTATTCTTCTGCAGTCAACGCGTACGACCGCCAGACGCAATGGACAGAAACGAGCATGCTGCCAGGAGCCCGACTGCACAACACGGCCATCGTTCGGCGAATACGGGAGCAAGAAGGCTGAGTTCTGCTCAAAGCACTCCAAGCCGGCCATGGTTAACGTCGTCGACAAGAAGTGCTGCCACCCAGAGTGCCTTAAGTACCCGTCATATGGCACAGACGGGAGCAAGAAGGCGGAATTCTGTGCCAAACACGCCAAGCCGGCCATGGTTAACGTCGTCGACAAGAAGTGCTGCCACCCAGAGTGCCTTAAGTACCCGTCATATGGCACAGACGGGAGCAAGAAGGCGGAATTCTGTGCCAAACACGCCAAGCCGGCCATGGTTAACGTCGTCGACAAGAAGTGCTGCCACCCAGAGTGCCTTAAGTACCCGTCATATGGCACAGACGGGAGCAAGAAGGCGGAATTCTGTGCCAAACACGCCAAGCCGGCCATGGTTAACGTCGTCGACAAGAAGTGCTGCCACCCAGAGTGCCTTAAGTACCCGTCATATGGCACAGACGGGAGCAAGAAGGCGGAATTCTGTGCCAAACACGCCAAGCCGGCCATGGTTAACGTCGTCGACAAGAAGTGCTGCCACCCAGAGTGCCTTAAGTACCCGTCATATGGCACAGACGGGAGCAAGAAGGCGGAATTCTGTGCCAAACACGCCAAGCCGGCCATGGTTAACGTCTTCGCTAAGAGGTGTGGCTACCCAGGGTGCGTCACGTATCCATCATACGGAACAGTCGGCGGCAAGAAGGCGGAGTTCTGCGCGAAGCACGCCAAGGAAGACATGGTTAGCGTTCACGGATACAAGAAATGCGGCCATTCAGGGTGCATCAAGCAGGCATTATTCGGTATGGCCGACAGCAAGAAGCCGGAGTTCTGTTTGCAGCACGCCAAGGCGGATATGGTGAACCTCGTTCGCAAGATATGTATTCGCCCAGGGTGCAGCAAGTACACGTCAATTGGTGTAGACGGCCCCACCAAGAAGAAGGCGGAGTTCTGCCCAAAGCACACTAGGGGAAGAAAGAAACGCCCTCGGGGGCGGCCGAGGAAGAAGTCGTAGCCTGGGGTTTTGTCTTACCGTGTACTTTGATGCCTCTAGGCGTGTTGTGCATCATGTAGTCTCTATTCTGAAGCTTATCTTTTGTCTCATCGTTTGATATCCGTGGAAGTTTCATTCGCATGCCCCACCCCTTGCCCGACGCGGTCTAAAGTGCTGATCTCGAGCTACAGTGCAAATTTCGTGGCGCCTCGAGTATGGCTCGGTTGAACAGCGTAAGAGGGTCCTGCGTGCTGCGCGCCACATGTATATTTTTTTGCGTTTGTTCTTGAATGGCCGTTGTACGTATGCATGCAGCTGCTGCTGCAGTTGCTGCTGTTATGCTCGGAATGTGCTGTAATGGTCGTGAGGTTGTCGTAGTCAGGCTTAACAACAGCCTGCTCGTTCGTGTAGCGGTAGTGGGGTGCATCTATCGCGACGTCAAGCGCATTGAGATAGTAGTTCGTCCGTCGTGCCCCTAGTCTACGCAAGTCATACAGTTCGGGAACGACGACATTTTTTCTTTTATGTTTGTTGTTGATGAGCACACATTGGATGTCGCCGTTCGTTACACGTGTTCAAGCCTGCGGTGGGCCAAAGGCATGAGAGTGAGCGTCTTCTCGAGATTTCATGCCTTCTCTTCTCGAGTCTCTATTCCTCTACATAGTCTACCTCTCTCTCTCTGTCGCATTTTGCCGTTAGGGCCCCAATGACATCGCACGTCAACGACAATTGTTTTGCTTCTTGATGAGTAGGAGGCTGCCCGTGTACCCCGCTGGTGCATGTGAGGCGATGGGCGCCGCCTCGTTCCTGAAGCAATGCGCATGGCCCCTCATGTTTGCTGCATGGAGTGCAATGTGACAGCTTCCAGCGGTTCGGAGCGGTGACGGCGTTTTTTCGCCGGTGGGCCCCCCAGAACAGAACGCGAACCGCGCCTTTTTCATTGTTTTGGGGTCCCCCACCCAACCCACCCATCATGAGTTTCAGCAGTTTTCGTTTCGTCTGGAGGGGTGTTTTTCTTGCCATATCCATGACCCGAGTGAGTATGGTTCGTGAGGGAATCGCGAACCATGACCCCTCCCAGAGTTTGAGCATCAGCTTCCGCCTCCTGTGACGGGCAAGAAGGCCGGAAATCGTCTCGCCATCAAAACAACAATTGGCCAGTTGAAAGAAAAGGGTCCGGTCCGCCAAAGATTTCGTTTGTTGTGTTTCCCTGCCGACTATTTCATAACCTCGGCTACAGCAGTGCGAAGCTCATGGCGCCACAAGTACGGTTCCGTAGGGAATTGCAAATCACGATCCCTCCCCCAATTCGAGTAGCTTCCACCTCCTGCGGTGGATACGACCGACGTCAAGCCCTAGATTGTGTCTGCCTGTGTCGCCGTGTCGCCATCTGCGAACAGCTGTTGGAGAGTCACAACAGAAGGGGGTCCGCTTCGCCACTAGATTGACACTACTTCTTCTACAGCTAGATATGATGCTACGATGTATCGGGTATAGACTACCTGTGGTTGAGCTTGGGGGATAAAATTCTACGGCAGCATATTCTATGCGACCAGTTGACGCCTTCCTCGCGTAACGATGCGCATCTCCCACGGCAAGCAGAATGAAGTACGTAATTTTGCTGTTCTACAAGTTCCAGTTCGCCCGGATGCTACTGCTGTTCTTGCCGACTGAAAGAGATTGAACTACTGGATGTTATTGTTCTTGCCGAGTGAAAGAGATTAAACTACTGGGTGTTATTGTTCTTGCCGAGTGAAAGAGACAAAACTACTGGGTGTTATTGTTCTTGCCGAGTGAAAGATACTACGTACCAGTCCGTGTGCCCGGCTACTGCATGTGAGGTACCAGTCGGCGGTACCCCTGCTGTTTGCTGCGGTGTATCGAACGCTTCCGGTGGGACAGAGCGGCAAGCGTGCCTTGTTTCTTCACTTGTTTCTTCACTTGTTTCTTCACTTGTCTCTCCTTTTTATCGCCCTTCGTTCTTGCTTACAATATAGATAGTAGGTGTCCCGGCATAGTCCCCGTTGAATAGTTCCAAAGTCCGGTATCGTGCCGGTAAATTTTTGCTCGACACAGACACAGGCCTGAATACGGCACTAATTAGGGCTACTCGGTATAGTACCGGTTCAGGCACTATGGCACCCCTCAATAGTGCCGGTTCACACCCCACACACAGCCTTTTTTTGTCTCAAGCCCTCCACACCAGCAGGATTCGGAGCCGGATCACCTTCGAGCTACAAGCTAGCTCGGTTTCGGTACGCGTGACGTCTTCAAAATTATTAACGTCATGGTTTAGGGATCGACCAATTCCAACACAGAAATTCAGCCAATAGGTTGGGATTTTAGTAGTGAGGCGCGTGAAAAGGGTGGCAATGACGAAGGATGTTGAAAAGAAAACGGAAGGATAGCAGTGATGATGGAGGAGGAAAATACAGTGTCGTTGCAGGGAACCAGAGTTTCGAGCCAGACAACCGTCCTCACAACAAACACCGCATGGGGGCAGAGTCTAGAGGTGGACGCCCGAAAAATAGTGCAAATATTTGTGACGTCAGTGTTTGGGTGCGGTAGCTCGTCAGAGGCCGAAAGAGAAAGAAGGTTGACTCAAGACCTTGTTGCTTAGAGAGTAAGAGACATGCGGTAGGCCACACCATCGCCATGCAACATGCCTGTCAATACATTCCATCCGCGTAGCCCCCGGAGGCCCCGTAGACAGTATACTCTGCCGAGCACCCCAAACAGAGAGTAGTGGGGATCAAAACACTCCGAAACGAACGCGTGTTCAACGTAGTAGCCTTGGCAGACACGTGCAGTTCTCCTCTGTTGCTGCCGCTTCTGTCTTTTTTGTCCGGAGAATGGCTCGGTCTCCTCCATGACACCCTCCCACGGGGTCCCAGATCATGGCCTTGAGAAACATTAAATTTCTGTTGTCAACCGAACTGAGACCGACGACGCGTCTTTTGGTTGGCCAGTCGTTTTTCTTGCTTCTGAAGGCTTGGGTCTTCTCCCTAGCCTTGTATCAACGAAACAGGGGAGTTTGGTATCTTCTTCATACCCCTTTGGGTTGCATCTGCTTTTTTTGTGCTCATTTACGGAGAACTACATCCATGTTGTACCTGTCGAGGAAAATTGTTACAACGTAGTCAGGCACAGTTTGCCATGGGTGAGACTGCGGCAACTACCCTTCCGTAGACATAATACAGAAAGAAGAGATGGTACTCAGCAGAGAACATGAGCACAGAGTTGTAGCGGAGATAATTTGGCAGGCGAGATTGTAGTTGTTTTATTGTTCCTAACCCCGAAATTCCGGTACTGGGGCCATTACCCCGGAGACCCTCGGAACCTGTTGCGTTTTTGCTGCTTCTTGTTGGTTTTGTTTTGTTGTTGAGATGAGACACAAGCGCGCCTTCGCCCCTTGTGCTCACTCTCATCTAGCACCCATCAAAGCCTGACCAGGGAGTCAGTTGATAAGAAAATCTATCTACATTTCTCTTTCCAGAGCTCGCTCGGGCCTACCGATCTCACAGCAGTGTAGACCAACCTCTGTGATAGAGCGGTGACAGCAGTGTAACCTCTGTGGTAGACTACAAAGTCTACGAGCTACAGCAGCACCGCCACCTCCGCTGCTGCAGGACACCACATTCTGTGAGGTTATGAGCCTCGCTTTACGCGAACACTAGGAGCTGCGGACGTCACGACGGAGGTCAAGACATCCTACTGCTGTGGACTACAACATCCGTCTGTGGCCTTCGAGAGGAAATCTGGATTCGGAGATTTGGGAGATCATCAACGGTCACCGGAAACGAAAGTGAGCGCACTACTTGGTCATCTACACCAAGGGGCTGAGAGTTCATTATACACACACGTTATCACTGCTGCAACAGCAGTAGTGGGTACCTCTGTGGTGAACAAACAGCAAAGTGTTGCGCGGGAAGCCTCGATTTAGACATTGAGCAAATACTTCTGCGGCGGAGACAGGAGGGAAGACTGTATCAACAGCGAAAGTCGACCGGGAACCGTAGTCCTATTCACCGATTCCCTAAGTGAGGAAAGGGTATCAGGAGCGGGGTCGCAAATTGGCCTACAACCGGAGTTCTATTCACCAATTCTCTATCTAGGTGAGAAAAGGGTTTCAGAAGCGGGGTCACGAATCGGCAACCGGGGTCCTCTATATCAATAGAAGGAACGGGGCTGGAAAAATCTCAGAGACACATAGCTGAGTAATACACCAACGATAATATTCAAGACGAGATCATCAGGATAAAAATGGAAGCCTGCACTAACCGTACACAAGCACGAAGACGACACCGGCCTTAGCGGCGACGGGCAGGCAGCATTCGCGGAACTGAAGGCCAACTACAATCGAGTGACAGATGAAGTGATCAGGGCTAAACTGGACGAC